CCCGCTGGAGCCCCCGCTGCGCTCGCCGCGAGCCCGCGTTCGGCCGCCGGCCCCGCGGAGCGGCGCTCACAGCTTGACGCGCCTCCGGGTTCTCCTGAAAACTTCCCAGCGCCGGTTCAGACCGCCCCTTGCAGGGGGCTTCGCCTCATTATTTCTGTTGCTCGCGTTCTGTTGCTCAGCCTGATTCGCCTTGAGGTTTATGCAAGCCCGCGGCGTGGCTGTAAGGTGGTAAACAGCAGCATGCGGGCCATGCGAATGGCGCGAGGAAGAGAGAGCAAGTCGCCCTTGAGACTAGGGGGAACGTAACTAAAACTTATTGAGTTACCTTTCTGAGGCAGCAGGTAGCCGCAAACCTCCAAGTGAAAGCCACTGCTATAGAATAAGCTTGTTTTTATTCAAGTTAATAGGCTTCTGATAGGAAAGAAAACAAAACATGGAATTCCTTGTATGCTTTCCTGGTAAACATTCTTTTAATCAGAATTTAAAATGGTGAAATTTGAATCTTTGTTTCAGCGTGTATTTCTGTGAATGATAACTGTGTACTGAAAGAAGAAATAGCACAAGTTCTGTTTGTTGGTATTTGATTGAGGGGCCCTATATATTTGCTGAGCCCTCTTCAAATAATGTTTTTATTTGTTGCTGGTAGCCGCTTCAGACTTCCTGGGTTTTTTGGGTATTTGATAAATGTGTTCTCAAGTAACTTACTTGTGGTTTGCTTTTTGAATATGATTCACGAATAAATTAAATCATCACTCACAAAAAAAAGTCAACCCAAAAGCAGTGTTAAAAGTTCTTAGAAAATAACTTTTATCTGAGGAATGACTGACCTCTTATGAAAACACATTTTTACAGCATGTTGACTCAGACTCTTTTTTATTTTTTTCCCTCCATCTTTAATATGGTCTGAGATAGGGATATTTTCGAGGCAAGAATCAGGAAACTTCTTGGCTTATTTTGTGTATTCAAGTTCATTTCAACTGTTTTGGTTTGCAGCGTATGATAAACCTCTCTGAGTTGACCCCTTACATCCTGTGTTCCATCTGTAAAGGCTATTTTATCGATGCTACAACCATTACAGAGTGTCTACACACCTGTAAGTACCAGTATTTTCATTCTAAGAATTTAGTTGCAAATTTAAATAAAAAACAGGAGATGATTTGTTCTGGTTGAGTTCCTTTTGGTCTGGCTTCACAAAGTGAGTTTGCCCACTTCTGTAAGTGAGCATGTGTTGTGGTCGTTATCACTCCTTGAGAGAATATAGGCACAGATATCTTAAGCATCAGAAAATCTGAAGTAATAACTGTCAGCTCAGTTTCCCCAGTTAAGAGGGAAAGAAGGAAAATGTAAAGAAAGAAGTAGCCCGAGTAAAACAAAAGCAGACGTATTACAAATCTCCTTAAAGTAGGCTCTGAGAATTTGTAATAAATACATAATTGAGAAATGAAAGCTGAGTGGCACTGCCCGTAATGTGTAGGAAAGTTTTCTAAACTGTTGCTAATGTCAGCTGTTCACAACGCTGAAGATACATGGAAATGGCAGGAAATTTTTATATGGATTCACAGAACCTGTGACTGATTTATAGATTGTTAGTCAAAAATGATCCCAATGTTTATTTTCTTCTCTGTCCCTGTTCTAATAATGCTTTTTTTTATTATTATTATTACTCAGAACTGCTCTTTTCTCGCAAAGCTATTACATTATTTTCTGTGAAACTGTCTCTTTAAGCCATGTTTATGTCTTAGTTCAAGTTCTCTGCTCCTTGGTACTCCAGTCCCTGCCAGTTCACAAACTGTTTTTTTTCTGCCTGTTTTTTTTAATTAGTTAATATATGCCATGTAATCTTCAATGCAGTTTATAATTTAGGAAAATAAAGACTTATTAGTTAGGACAATGTATTCTTATATACAGTTGTACGGTTGTAATATTAAACATCTTCCTATGCATCAGTGGGTAGGGTATTGTGAACTATAAAGACTAGAGAGTGCTGAAGTCTGTGCAGATAGGGTTGTGGTTTATTTGGGTCTTACAGCATTGCTGAAGGATTTGCTCTCAAGCAACCTGTATGTGACAAAACTGGCTGTAATTTCTTCTCTTGCATCTTACAAATGCTATTGTATCAAGGACATGTGACTTATGTGTTCTGTTTGTTTTGTTACAGTTTGTAAAAGCTGCATTGTGAGACACTTCTACTACAGCAACAGATGTCCAAAATGCAATATTGTTGTACATCAGACACAGCCACTTTATAATATCAGGTAATAAATTCATGCCATTTTATAGGTGTAATTTTTATCATGAAGTTGTACTGTTTACTTAAAATGTGTTGTTTCAGGATTCTTTGGTGTAATAGGAAAGCATAATAAATCGGTAACCTAACATGTGAAGAAACAGTTCAACGAAACACATCTTTATATATATATCTGTGTACATATAGACTTCAGACAGTTTCAACAATGAGAATATGATTACTCGGTTTCTTCTTTTCTCTAGTTTCAGATGTTTTTGTTTTGTTTTATTTTTTTTCTGCAACTGAATAGGTATTTTTATGCATTTGCCCAGAAACTAAATCTTAACTATTTGCTTTCATTGCCTTTTAGACAAACCTTGGTTTGCATGGTATACTTGTTTCTAACCCTGAAACTACAGTTTTAGTTTCTTTAACTATTTTAGACTTTTTTCATCTCTGACTGACTTCCCTTCTTGGAGCTGTGTTGTCAAGACCTGAATTTAGGAAGGCAGATCAGCAGCTCCATCTGTCACTTATTTTGGCAGTGTATCTGGCAGCTTTGTTGTGATTTAATGTAAAAGATTCTGTAATGCACCAAAAATACGTTGTAGCATGTTTCCTGAATTATCCGGCTTTTTAGTAACTTAAGTACTTTGAACCTTCAGAATTGAAGGACACTCATTTTCATGGTTTTCTTCCTTTATAGACTGGACCGGCAATTGCAAGACATAGTATATAAATTAGTCGTCAATTTAGAGGAAAGTAAGTCGCTTTCTTTATTACCATCTAGATACTGGAAAGACTGAACAGAAAAGAGAATAATTCAAAGCCCCATTTCTATTCTGGGCTCATTAGAGTAGTTTTGTAAAGTATTTTTCATAAAACCAGGAGATATGGTGTAACTTGACTATGAATCTTAGTGAATAGCCATACCAACTAGCATCTTTTTGCCTGCTAAGATACTCTGGTATCTGTTATTTTTCTTATCCTTACAATGAAATAGTAGTGATACTAAAGTTAAATTTACACTGATGTTTTTGAAAGTCTTGTTCCAGATCTGCTATTGGACAAAGCAGACAATTGTTGGATGTGTTTTATTTCGCTTTCTAATGTCATGAAATAAACATTGCATTGTTTCCAGAAAACAATCCATATAATATTCTAGTATCAGGTCTTGGGTTTTTGTATGCGTACAGTAAATGTCATTCTGTCTAATCGTCATAGGTTTATTTATCTCCATTGCAAGAAGTTACTAGGACTGCTCAATTCTCTCAAGTGCTTTTATTTTTCTCTCACTGTCACATTTCTTTGATTTATTAGATCATTTACTGTCACGAGCCAATTATCTTGAACTTGGAGACAATGAATCTGATAGTGCTGCGCAGTCCCCTGGGGTAGATATGTGCCTATATGGTCTATATTTAGATCAGTGTGCTTGTATGTATATGTAGAGACAGATAAATGAAATCTTCACAGTGAGAAGGATGATAGTTTTATAACTGGCTTGTCTGATTATATTTTTCATTTTTATTAACAAAATCTTAGTCTAGGTACCTCAAATAGCCCAGTATAGTAGGGAATACTAGTGACAGTGAAGGTCTGTCGATACTTTCAGTGTCTCTGCTAATGTTAGCCAGAATTGTCCTGACTATAGGAAACTACATCGCTATTCTTAGCCTCTGTAATATTCCAATCTGTTCTGTGTTGTGCTTTCCAGGAGAGAAAAAACAGATGCATGACTTCTATAAAGAAAGAGGACTAGAAGTTCCCAAACCAGGTGAGCTATAATCATTCTAGAAGACTGTGTTAGAGATATCTGCTATAGCATTAATTCTTAATGATTACTTTGAAATACAAGTTCACAATTGAAGAAATGGGATCATTTGTTTTTGATTACTGTGATTGGTCACAGTACACAAACTGCAGGATGACACTGACAGCGCTTGAAACCAGATTCTGTTTGGATTTTGTTATTTTTAGTTACAGATCTTTCTCTGCATAGAAGAAGGAAATTCTTATAAAGTGAGCATTATTTTTATTTTCTTGCCGTAAGTGATAGAAGGTAGAAGAGTAAGAAGAACTCGAGAGTCCATTAACAGATGAGAATTTCTTAACTGTGTTTTTTCTTTTGTTTTGTTTTACTGTTAAACACAGCTGTTTGAAGAGGTGCCACGCTGAATGCTAAGAAAATGCTAGTGGTTCAGATGCACAGAAGAGCTGATTTAGTAGAATAATTAGGATGAATTCCATGGGCATTTCTTCCTAGTTTTCTTGTGTATGTTAGTGTCTTATGTTCTTTTTATTTCAACTTGTGTTTGCATTTCAACTATTTGAATATTTTAGCTGTCCCCCAGCCAGTTCCAGTGAGCCGAGGAAGACCTCGAAAAGTTCTGGGCTCCGTGTTCCGGATCCCACCAGAACTTGATATCTCGATACTTCTGGAGTTCATTGGGTGAGTTATGGACAAATTTAAGAGTAGATGCCCCGTGTGAGGATGCTGCTTGTGCGTGTTGGACCATTACTGTTTTTTTCCCCATCTTTAATAGCAGGTAGCAGCAGTCAGCAATGAGTAGTGGCTAGTTACCCAGTTAAACGTTGAAGGTATCTTCCTATGAAAAGAGCTTCCTAAAAGTTTCAAATATTAAAACTATCTCTGTTTTGTTTACTTTTGACAAAGCAGTATAGTTTTGATAACCTGAGTGAGAGTGAGATCTCTCTCTCCTACACTCTGCTAATTCGTGTAGGCGGCAGTACTGCTAATGCTGACTCTGCCAGACTGGCTCAGGTGACTAGGGGACTGTAATTGTACGTTATTTCGTGCTCATTAGCCAGAAAATGCTGTGTTCTAGAAACAACTCACTAGGAAGGTGAGCTGTAGCACTTTAGAACCGGGGAAGAAAAGGAAGGAAATGGCACTAAAATCACCATGATTGGAGTATTGATGTTTTGAGCTTCAGGATAGAGCGTGTGAAGATGAGTAATTCGCATATATTAGTTGAAATTACAATGTATAGTATCACTATGATACTGTATGCCTGGGAGAGTCTTATAACTAATCCTGCTTTGCTGAGCAGTACAGGTTACTTAAAATATTGTCACCAATTTAGTACTTAGAAACAGTCTTCAGGCAACTGTGGTGCTACTTTGGCAGGAGAAATACCTTCTTACTGTGCTGGCTTCTGATATTGGAGGCTTAAGAGCTTCTTGGACAATGCATTAGGAATTTGATGCCCCGAAGGAATTTGGCCGACTCGATCAGTGGTTGAAGTGTTTGGGTTAGAATGACCCTTAAATATAAATTAAGAGGTAAATCTCTGCCCCAAAACTTGAGCTGTTTTCAGGAACCCAGAAGGAGAAATTGCACTGCTTTACTTTTCCCTTGTGCAGACTTTCAGGAGAGCATTTAAGAAAGGGAGGGCACGTTGTAAGAGCTGAATGGCTCTGGTAGCTGCACTTCATTTGTGGGGGAGGGATGAGCTTGACGCTTGTGCAACTCTTATCCTTTTACCCAGACTGTGCCTGCTTTTGGCCTGATTTCGTCTGAACAAATTGTTTGGACAACTCAAGTATATAATCATAGCAAACTATTACACAAATGATGTGAAGTCAAGTGTTCAAATATTGGGAAATTCTAGCAGCAAAATGTGCCATCTTGATTGAATCTCACTCTGTGTAGGCATCATTATATCGTCTTTGAATGTTATGTCCAGTATTTCCACTTCAAGAGCAAATTTTCTTTGTAGATAAATTTTTGGTATGTAGTTTTTTCTTTGTTTCGTCCACTGGATGAGAGAGATGATTGCAGAAAGAGAGGAGAAGGTCTGTTTTTCAGTTAAACCAGTAGAAAACTAGATCCAACCCTGCCTGTGCTATTGTCTCCATGTAAATCTATACACATGATTTAATTTGATGTCTTTCTGTATGCCTGACACGCAGAAATGCTAAATGCTCACAAGTGCAACTGAAAGCAGTGGGACTCATTTTAGCTGTCTCAAACTGGGTACCTGCAATTCTTGATAACATCCTGGCACAATCTGTCTTGGGCTCCTCTTTCTAAGCAGGGTACGATATTGCCATCCTGCAGAATAGGAAGACATGCAGATGCGTTCATTTGTATGAAGAAATGAGACCACTGAGGAAACTAATGCTTTTGCCATAAAAGCAGAGTTTTCATAAATAAAGCCAGTAGTCAAGTACTGAACAGGGAGAGAAACAAGATGTTATATAGCGGTTCATTGAGTGGTAATTGTCCATTCTGTTTAATGAACACTTTAAATTTGATGTATTTTTTTTTATTTTTAGTGTTTGTTTTGTTTTTCAATGAACGCCGTGTAAAATTCACACACTTTTTAGTGCAGACCTTCTGTTCAGGCATGTGATTTTTATACTCGGTTGAGTATAATGTGAGTAACTGCATGTACACAGACATAAGGTAAAATGGTTTGACCGAAACTTCATTTTGTATGCAGTTATCTGATTGCCTCAGCTGTGACCTCATGAAGTCAGGGTTCTGGTGCATTTTTGATACCTGATGGGTAGCAGCTAGTGCTGTGCTGGGCCGGTAGATGGCGGAGAGAGCCCAGGGCCGTCGTTGACACATGTTTATACCAAGAACTGTATGCCTTTGTCAATGATACATTGCCGGTTACACTGTAAAATCACTGTAAGATCTGAAACTAGAATTCTGTTCCAAGTGTGTCCCTTCAGGTTCAAACATTGTTTCTAGGGACTCTATAAAAATTTCATGAGACTGTGTTGACTGAAGAAACAGATACAGTTCGTATTCCTTGGAATGAAGGTACTTTGTTTATGGTTTCTACTGCTAAAGGCTCCTGTTTTTTTTTTGTTTTTTTTTTTCTCCCCTCTTGTGACTATCAGCAGGTACATCTATTTCTAAGAGGAAGATGTCAGGAAATTTAGACATTGGAAGTAATTCACATGTACGTGTCCACATGTGAAACTAGTTGACTTTTAGATTTCTTTCCTGGGGTAGCAAAGCAAGTAATATTGTACAAACACCATGCAACTGTTGTGTGTGTTTCCATTACTCAAATGGAGGGAACCACAGAAAATTTCTAATACGAAACTTAACAACCTACAGGTTTCCAATTATGTGTTTTGAATTCATTTTTACTTTTTATTTCTATCTTGTAATTTATTTTGATGACTTATAATCTTTGTTATGCCTCATGTTTAGGAGTTAATATATCTTCCTCTTTAATGTTGGCAATGAGAGGTTTAGAAAGCTCTGTGGATAAAGTAGGAGCAGATAGGGCCATTCAACAGAAGTTTTTTTCACTGTAAAAGTTTGTTTTAAATTGTCTGTATTGTGGCTCTGGAGTATGTTAAATGATTGGAACTTTCCCATGGCAATTGAAGTATGTCAAAGAAAATGCTGAAGTAGAGAAGCTTACATACCTTACTACACTACCTTTAAATTTCCTTTCAGCAACAGAGTTTGATATTAACTCTCTCTCATGGCAGGTACATATTTCAGAGATGTAATTACTTAAATTTTGTAACCTTAAGTGTCTTACTAATGTGCAATCTGTACTAACTTTAGATTTCTTTTATTCTTTTTTGCTATACCGAATGCTCTCTAGAAATACAATTTATTTATAGTGATACTTGATTTTTTTTAATACCTTCTCCGATATAGTGAGTTACAGCATTTCTTTTGTTCATACACACTCACTAATGCAATGCAAGAGTAGTATGTCACTGTGAGATACTGTGCATTGGACATAATTCCTCAGGACATTTTTATATACTCAGTGTTTCCCATCTTGTACTGCAGGACGTAATCACTTTGATCTTTTGCCACCTTCGTGTCGCCTTTCAGAGAAGCATTCACTACCTTCCTAAGTTCCTAGATAATGTTAGCATTAATGCTGTGATACAAATAGTCTACAAGGTTGACATGTGGGCCAGGAAGTCTCTGCTGGGTGAGGAAGTCTCTGCAGCAGTTTGGCATGTTCTGTCAGCAGCTCCTAGGCACAGTCTGTTAAAGTTTCAAGTATTGAGGACAGGAAACTTAGAATGACTAAACAACGTTAATATGGCAACCTATTCCTATGAAAATTAGTGTTACAGCGTATATAAAATGTAATGTTAGGCTGCATTTTGTTGCCTTTTTTTCCTTCTCCATTACATAAAGGCTACATTTAAAGACATAAGTAGTGAAAGGGGATTCCAAGTAAAGGGTAGGAGAAAGATACATAGATTTAGGCTACTATTATGTCATTTCTTAGATTTTAATAAAAGGAAGAGCCTGATTTAAAAAAAAAATGAAATTTGATATGCTAGACTCTTTGTTAGAATAGTGACTGATTTAAGAGTTTGAAGGGTATTAATAAACTGTTTGCCTTAGCAATATTGATTGTGTTTACTCTTCTCTTGTTTTTCAGAGCTAACGAAGGCACAGGGAATTTTAAGGTGCAGATGTGACTTGATTTTTTTCTTACATTATTTACTTCAAAATATGTATAATTTGAATGTATTTAATTTAGTTTATCTCTGTTTTTCTTGCACTGCGTGCAACCTGAACTTTGATCAGCATAGTGGTAATGTTACAGTGTGCTTTTAAATCTACTGCTGTGTAACATCACTGAGTAGGAAAAGACTAGTAGAAAAGACTAGATTTCCCTAGATGTTAGGGTTTTTTGTTTGTTTTTTGGTGGGAGAAGGGGAATTTGCTAATGAAACTTCCTCTAGATGTTCCTAGCTTTCTATTCCTACATCTCCCTCTAGGAGAAGCATTGCTGTGGCTTGTTCTTGGAATCCTACACAAGGGCATAGCCATTGTCTTAAAAAATGGTCTGGAAAGGTTTCCCTCGTTGTAGTGAAGCACATACATATATTATACTGAGGGAGGGTAGCCTGAGGCATAACAACGGAATTATGTATGTTTAAAAATACAACAAAAAATAAGTATACATATTTTTGCTAGTCCTCACATTAATCTTCCTTATCTAGCAGTAAACTGATTCTCTTGAGAACTTGGCAACCAACAATCACTGCTTGAATGGGGGCTATTCCTCATCCTTGCTAAAGAGTATGGCTGCTCTTCCAATATAGCTGTTCTTACTGAGCTGAATTGGTACAAATTCATAGGGAAACTGCACATTGTCTGCTGCATTCATGATTTCGTAGTCTGTAATTAGAGATGTTCAGAGGATTTCATTTCACTGTTTGGCTAAACATTTAGAAAACGGACTCTATTCAGGGACAAGGAGATACAATTTAAAATTACACAGTATATATAACAGTTAATCTTTCCTTGTATCGGAATTGTAGGAATAAAAAGATACAAAAAGGCACAGAGTAATGGAGTGTAAGACACTTTAATTGGTTCAGTTAGATAAACTATAATTTTACTATTTAAGAAAATGCAAATAAAAATGCCAAAGGCATTTTACTAACTTAAGCATGGATTGTCTTAATTGTTCCATTTTATTAATTTCCTTTGTTTTCAGCTGTATTGATTTCTGATCAATATATTTTCTGGCAAAAATATGAACAATTCAATGAGACTGCAATTACATATGCTATTTATAACAATAATAGTGTTTGTTATGTCAGAGCATAGCATGCAATTTCAAACAAAACTTAAAAATTATGGGGAAAAAAGGGCTTCCCTTTCCAAAAGAGCTGAATTATGACTACAGTTCTAGAAGGGAAGGAATTTTCCTGAAATTGCACCCATTAAAATTTTCTTGTTCCTTTGTTGTTCTTTTCTAGCTTCTCCTATTTCCCCTTATTTCTTACATTTCTAGTTGGCTTCTTCCTTTTTCTATTGTTTCTTCTTTCATATTGCTTCATATCCTTCTCATCTCATACTTCTTTATTTTCACCCTATTTATCCAGGGCCCAATAAGAATGATTGTAGGACAGTTCAATTGTGTCACTAATTTCTTTCTTTTTTTTTTTTTTTTTTATTAAATATGTTTGACATTTCCTTCTTTTTTTTTTTTTTAAGGTTCATGCTCTTTCAGAGGGAGCACTTTTGCCTTAAAAATAAAAAGACAAACTTAGCTGTGATATTGTTAAGGGATGTTTATGATTTGGAAGTGGATTTTTTTTCATGTGTATTCCTTTTCAAGTCATAAGTAATGTCTGGTTACTTTAACTCCAGTGTTAGTGGTGAACAAGAAGGGCTGCCTACGTTTACTCCCCATGTATAGTTCTTTTCTGCAAATAGTCTTACTGGTATGGTAGACTAAGCCATGGACTGAAGTGCCATTTAGTGCATATATATAAAGATAGATAGATTTAAGAGATTAAGAAATACTGTAAGATGGTGGCTATTTTTTTAAAATCCTAGCTAGTATATTTTTCTACCATTTAAAAATTCTGTGGTGATCTCAACTCTACTTTAGTCTACTGTCATTTCTTCCTATCCTCATGTTTTTCTTTACTGCCTTTGTACTTCCTTGTTCTTCCTGCTTGCTTTGTCCAAAATGTTTGCTCATCAGCCTTCCAAATCCCTCTCTCAATATCCGCTTGTCACAAAACATATCTTCATCTTCTTAGCATTGTTTTCAATTGTTTATCTACCTTGTTTGTCTGAATTAAACATTGAATTACATGTGCAAGAGATTGCTGCTTTTATGCAAGGGGTGAGGGTGGGGTTGTACATGTGTCATCACCAAACTTTTAGTGTCGTGGTTCCCAGATAAGGTCTCATTGATATTTCTAGCTCTTAAATGTATTGATCAAATTATTCTTCCAAAACCACAGTTATCATGGATACATATGTGCCTTCATGATTTAATTGAAGGATAGACTAACCCTATTTCAAATGGGAAGAATATGGTAAAGCTGAATAGTGAAGCTGGATAGCAAATCACAGCTATTGAAAATCTATTGGCATGGATTTCAATAATCTGCTTTGTTTTTATTCTTCTTCACTAAGTCATGCATAGCACCAGTTGGCTGTTTAAAATTTTATCCATAGAAGAGAAAACCACTAAAATATTTGAGATTGATGTCATAGATATTTAGTTACTGAGATTCTCCTTGTGAAAATAATTAGAAATTATATGAGAAGGTTTCAGACCAGGCTTGCCCTAATGTACTACACAGTAGCATATATTAATGGTCTGGAATTTCACAGGTTAAGTTGATTCCACTCAAGCCATAATACTTTTGGAATAGTAAAGAATTTCAAAGCTCCGTGTGATAGAGTGACTAGGTTTTCTTTTCTGAATTCGTTTGGCACACAAGACTGATTTGGAAAAAATAAGCAGATTTTAGAAAATATCTCTAATGCGCCTCTGAGTAAATGGTTTATTTTCTGGAATAAAAGTTCTTAAAATTCAGTGATACTGATTTCTTTGCTGATGTGATGGCAAATCTCACTTTCCCAGTACTTAAGTAATACAAAAGTATTGAAGTCAAAGCATTGCTTTAAATAGCAGGAGTTTTCAACCCAGATTCTGATTAATTCATATTTAGTCAAAGCATTGCTTTAAATAGCAGGAGGTTTCAACCCAGATTTATTTTCTATGGGGTCATTGGGAAGTAGATGAGAGAAGGGTCCAAAAGTTAAGTTGTCCTCACTTGTTCTGTGGGGGAGGGTGGCTGGAAATGTTCAGTGTCTTAAAATCTCATGTTTCTTCCTCGTAGCCTTTGGAAAAGAAGTTTGTGCGTGTCTCAGGGGAGGCGACCATTGGACATGTGGAGAAATTTCTCAGAAGAAAAATGGATCTGGATCCTGCTTGTCAGGTATGCTGTAAAACTGGCAAGCCTTTTATAGAGTGAAAGCTTTTCTTCTAATGTGTGAAGTGGATGATATGTTTGGCTCTTAGTAGTTGACTGTGATCCATGTAATGCATATGCTTCAGGCAGAACACTTTTATGTTAGAAGTAATATAGTTTAATACTGTGAACTATTAAATGTGGTCCACAAGGAATAACTCACTTGCAACTTCCAACTCGCAATGTTTAATTTTGTTATATGAATAAAGAAGATTTTAAGAGTTAAGATAAAATAAAGAACAAAGAACTTCTGAAGTGTCATGTAAAATTTCAGCAGTTAAAATCCAAATGCAAAAGATAATGCTCCAAGATAAAACTAAGCATAGACAGAAAAATGCTGAAACATGGGAGTATATGAAGGCAGAGACTGAGATAAGAGCTGAGTAAAAGTAAATTGAGTTGAACATTGAAGGAAGTGAATGGAGAAAGATGAGAAAGGATGATGATATTTTGGGTGGAAGAGTTGAGATGAAAGCTGTGAGTGCTAAATGTAGGCTCCTGCTTTCAAGTTTAGAATTTGGTGGAATAAATATAAAATGAAAAAATTCCCATTTCTCAGCCAAGTTGATGAGATTTTGCTGTGCAATCTGAACATTATATTATAAGCTATAGTGATCTGTAATCTTGATATGCAGTCCCAACTCCTAACTGAATGTTTGCTGGAATTTATTTTAAGAAGGCCTCATGAATTTCATAATGTATAAATGGTTCTCGTAAATACTGTTTATTGGAAAATCCACTGCTGCTAATGAGAACAGATGTGGTAGAAGTTAAGGTTGTTTCATGAAGTGATAATTTTTTGAGGCAACACTGTGTTGCCTGCTTTTTCCATGGGGACAGAACAAATTGAATATAAATTATTCATCATCCTGAAGGAGTAATGTTTTCACTTACTGATTTTCCTCTTGGTAAGAGTCTCTGTAGCTTCTTTGTCATATGGTGGTGCCTTGATGTTATGAGCAAATAAAAACTTCCTCAAAGCGAGGCTAGAGCAGTCTCCTACATTAATGAACTTGCAGCTTATTTGAGGTGAAGGGATTGTCTAGGTTTTTCTTAAGCATTATACCATAATCTCAATTATGGTATAATTATTATACCATAATTTTCAGAAATGCTGTGCATTTATAATGAATTGCTCTCTGTTTGGACTTCACCAGGCAAGAAGTGATCCAGTCTTAATGAAGAAAGATAACTGTGTCTAAAAAAGCTTATGACTTTAGAGCCTTACTTTCTCAAGATGATATGGCTATATGCTGACCAAATCACTTATCTCTGCTAGTATCCAATATGCTATTCTGGAGTAGAGTAATAATGCACAATGCTTGACTAATTCTAATATCACGCAGAATATACATAGAGAAGGCCCATCAGGGAGAGGCATTAAGTCTGCTCTAATTTTTCCAGTCAGATCCTTTATCTGATTTTTTTTTAAATTGATCTTTTTTTTTTTTTTTTTTTCTTTCCATTGCTCGAACTGAAGCTTATGGCTTGTCGATAAAGATTTAGGGAGAGGAAGAAATATCAGATGTGTCACTGAAGATAAAAAAGGGAGGAAAATATATGTAAATTGGCACAGACAGAAGCAGGTAGGGAGATACGCTGTCAATTATGTATGCAAAGAATGTAAAAGTGAAGGGTACATGTCTGCTCCTTTTGGAGCAGGAGGGGGGATGGAAATTAGATAGGAAATGGTTCAGAAATTGTAAAGGTTCACTTTCTGTAGGCTTCCCCCGGTATGTTAAAGAAGCAGAAAATATTAATAACTAACCTAAAATAACTAATTTCTGCATAAAAATGTCATGGGCTTGGTATGTCTTAGAATCCGAGAACAGTATCCTCTTGGGAGGACAGGAAATTCCTTTCACTGAAGCACCAGTTTCAGTCACTCTTCTGCTAAAAATGCTCTGTACTTGCAGGATATTTTTCCTGTTTTTATTTAGAGAAAACTGTTAATGGCACAGAGTTTAATCATGCTTTACCTAGAACTTGAAATGGTTTTACTGTGAGAAGAAGACTTGTGTGTCCTCCCTCCTTTTTCTCCTTAGCGCATTGATTATATCCTTAGTTTGTTGATGCTTTTGGTAAGGATAGCGGTTTTGGTGTTTCCGCAAATGAAATGGCTGTTACCGAGCAGCTTATTTTGTTAGTCTGCAGAAGTGTTATTTGGAGTGTTCTGCTTCTTCCTTGTTAGAGTTGATTCAATGACTGATTGATGAAAAGTATATGTTACTCATTATTCCAAACTGCTGGCTGTTCTTAGATTTTTTTTGGTTTTTTAACTTGATTTGTTTCTGGGCTATCTTAGCTAATATTTGCACTTACTTGTAGACCTGCCTAAGTGGGGTGGATTGTGTTTAATGAAAATGTTAAAGGAGAAACCATCTGTCTCATGTGTGACACTCTATATAAATCTAAAGGCAGCTTTGAATTACTGTCTTTTCTAGTCTGTAACCTGCAAGCCTGAAATTATTTGCTGACTCTTGCATGAGTTTGCAAGTGAATAATGGTTCAAATTTGCTATTTACCGAAAGGTTAAGACTTTGTTTGTTTATATCTAACACTTTGGATGACAGACTGGTGTGCTCTTATCCTTTTTTTGATCTCTGTGCTTTGGGCAATAATTAATTTCTTATGTGTATGCATGTATTTCTAATTACAAAGTCTTTAATGTTCTAGTTGTTTTTTTTTTTCTTTTTGAGGAAATATTGAGGTTTTGAGAGAGACTTTTGAGAATTACTAAGTAGGTAACAGAGCTAAGTAGGTAACATTCAATTTGAACTAAATACAGGCAGCGGTGTATGGAACATTTAGCTTTGGCATCTGATACACATCTGTACAGTTTGTGTTTTGCCTGGAAATTGAGAGAAAATGGGAAGCTAATGGGATATATCACTTCATTTGAGTATCCTGTAGCAGCATTATCATTTCTTGCCAAAGATAGCAGAGCAATCCCTTAATTGCAGAGTGGAGACTTGAGCTCATTTGATCTGAATGCATTAGTGTGGTTTATGGGATAGAAATGTTCCCTAATGTGTGCTCCTGAAAGCATGCATGGAAACTGGAGCCTGTGAGAAAAGATTGGAAGCAAGTCCGTGCTCACATTGTGTAGTAGCTGATACAGTGCCTTCATGCTAGACTTAGACTCCAGAATAGTTGTATTTGGTGTGTTGGAAGAGTAAATAACAGCTAAAGGAAGCAGAAGGCTTTGCCAGCTTTTGGATAATTAGCCCAAATACTCAGACCAACCTCTAATATTTTTTTTATTTGTCCTTCCATGCATAGTTTCTATAACAACTCATATTATCCAGGGAAGAATCCATGGAGAATTGGCTTTCTGGGCCAAATTTTCTCTTGGGATGAGCCTTATATGGGATAGCCCGTATGAGCTTCCCACTTTATCTTCATTTTACTTAATGGCTGTTAACTTGTAATTGTTGGCTTTTAGATAAATAGCTATTGTGTGCAGTAAACATACCACCTAATGAAAATAAATGGCGTAATGGAAAGGCTACTTTATTTTGCTAAGAATTTTGTCAAGTGTGAGTAATTTGTAAGGTGCACTTTGATGTTTCAGGAAAAGGTCAAAATGTGTTTTCAGTTCTCAGTAGCTGTCAGTATTAGATGACTGTAATTTCATCAGTTGAGATTATAGTAAATTTGTATCATTTTGATGGTGCATCTTTTGTATATAGAATATATTGATTTTTTTTTTTGCATAAGAATACCTCCAAGACAGCTATTTTGCAACTGATTTCCATACTTTTGCTGACACTTTATTCATTGCATATTTTACTCCCCTTTCAGAGTGAATCTCAGCATAACAATTAGTGAGGAGAAATTCAGGCTCTGGTGCTAGAATGAGGAGATTAAGCATTTGGTATTCAGAGCACTCTAAGGAGGTGGATGTTCAAAACCGTTCTCCATAATTTATTTGAAGGTACTGAATCTTTAATGACTATAATTTGAAACTGGAACAGTAGGGTTAACAGTGGAGTGTTTCCAAGCAGGTATTCACATTCTGTATTGCAAGATTGTCAGCGATTGTCACTGTGTCTTTGTATCCTTTAGCAGACAATTAGATTTTTTTTTCCATTTCCATATAGAATACATTTGTGTGTATGCTTACACATGCATGCCCACGCACCAGTGTAGAAGCAGTTTCAGTTTTCAGTGCCTTATGGTATACATAATTATAAAATGTAATTAATCTCATGTCAGCAGAAAGCATGGAAGGCAGGCATGCCTTTCCTCCTTGGGTAATAATCATACAGGCTAGAGTGCAAGGGAAGCAGAGGAGTAATAATTGTAGACAGCTTTCAAAAAGAAAAAGTTTTTTTTTTTCTTTCAGGTTCTGTCTTTAAAACATCTTAAATACTCAAGTTACCCAAGCAAAGAAAAAAATCGTTATTAGGGTTAATGGTCTTGAATATTTAATATGGTATCTGGATGAATTTTTATATGCTGGTTCCTTCCTAAAGTAAAAAACAGAAGTAATACTAAGCAATTTATATCTTCCGCCCATTTTAGAAGCATTATTTAAAGCATCCAGAGGGCATGGATTATACCGCATAGTTGTCATATTGCAGATGATGTAAAGTAACTTAACTCTTTTGAGTCTCTATGGAGTCAACCAGCATGAGGCATAATTTCAGAATCTTTTCATGAAGAACAAGAGAAAAATAGTGGGTGAATATGAAGAAGAATAGAAATCCAGGCAAACTGAATAGCTGAAAGAGAAAACAGCGTACCCTGTTAGTACAGTCTCTCTATATAGCCGTGTAAGAGAATATGTAATGATATTGCAGTGTCCTCCTGACTACTGCAGTGCAAAGCTCAGTTTTATCCCTCACAGAAAGTTGGACAGCTTATTGTCAATGCTCTTAAATTCTAATTTCCAGTTTGGTTATTGTAACTAAGTGAGAGATGGGAACCCTCTCATTTTCCAGCTTAGGATTTGCTTATAAGAAAAATGTAACCAAACTGCAGTTGTGAAAGAATGTAACTGTGCTGCTTGCCAGTCTGATTTGAAATGTTAGAGACTGTGTTTGTGTTATATATGGTTTCTTAGTGACACCTACTAAATCAATCATGTTTTTGTGGAGAAATCTGTAATCCACAATAATCAAGGCAAGGATTACAGGACCTGCATCAGCTGTCATTTTCCCCAAATAACTGGTTTTGTGGACGGTTGCTTAATGCTAGTGCCTCCTCCAGAATTGCGGGCATCATTGACATAATTTTGCCGCAGTGGAGGACATGACTGAGAACTGCTGCGTAGCCCTTCACTCGTGTCGCGGAAGTACTCATTGCATTTTGAAGAAGGGCTGTGGGAGGCACTTGCTGGCAGTAGCATGCAGTGAGCTGTTCTTTTCTGTTTAGCCACTTTGCCCAAACCCGTGTTAGTAAGCAGACATATGTGTTTTCTCACTCAGGATAAGGATGAGAGTAGTACTGTTAAATCTCCTGCCAGTAGCACAGGCAATTTACTTTTTTCTTGGACCCGATGAATAATGATGGATGCTTGTGAGGCAACTTTAATGTATGTAATCTAAATTCCCGTTGAATCCATCACAGCTATTACTAAACAGCTTTCTTCTCAGCAATAAGACCAAACTGCGAGTAAAACAAACAGTTCCCTCTGTTCCAGGTGTACGAGATGCTAGAATAGCACTTGTCAGCATCGAATTTACTTTATGAAATGCCAAATATTAAGTGCTTACCTGTTTTATTCTTCTAAAGACAGATCAAACTCTTAACCATGTTTGTGTTCTTTCACAGGTAGACATAATCTGTGGCGATCACCTGCTAGAACACTTCCAGACTCTGAGAGAAATTCGTCAGGTCATAGGAGAGAGTGCAATACAGGTTAGTGTGCTAGCAGGGGCTTTGTTCTTGGTTGTGTGTTTTAAACTAGAACACTCCTTTGTTAACTGTCAGCTAGCACCAGCTTGTCTGGAGAAGTCACGTACAAAATATCTTCAGCTTTGCAGAAAGTGCTTTTTATATTGTGGATAGATATGAGATGTATACCATGTGCTAAGAGCATTCTGGTCTGTGTTATAGTTGGGATATAAACTTTTTCTAGTCTGGCACAAGCTGCTATCATGGCAGAAATGAATTTTGCAAGACTTTCTTTACAGTCACATTTCTTGTCATCTTCCTTGATGGTAGTAACCACTGGGGGGGAAAAAAAGGACTAAAGCATCCCAAATAAGACTAACCTCGTGACTAGGCTGTAGAATCAATTTTGCTCTCAAAAGTGCAATCCGAAGATGCAGATTAATGGATGCAATCAGTTGTTGTGTATTATACAGTTCCTGAAAGCAGCCTGACTGTATAACCAGTGACTTCTTGTTGGTAACTTACTGTTGCGAAGTCTGCAAATAAGAAAGCATTTCTTATTCCTTAGGAATCTTTGAAAGTGTTTGTGTAGTGAGAGGATTCACACTGTTTTTGAAGTGCAGCAGCAACACAGTTATCTGTACAGTGCAGAGTAGGATATAGGTGGAAACCATGATGTAACCTTTGGAAGTCTAAAATAATGGCTAATCTAATGCTGACCTAAATTGTATTTGAAAAGTATATTGTTACAGTATAATATTTGAAAAGTAACCTAAAGACTTGGCATAAAAACTGAAGTAGTTGAAGACTCAGTTTACTTGCACACATGTATGCAAAATACTGTGTATTTAAATTTCCAATTAAAACCTTTAATGCTGCAATTCTGGAACAGGCTGCCCGGACAGGTTGTGGAGTCTCCTTCTCTGGAGATCTTCAAAACCCTCTTGGACGCAGTCCTGTGCCACATGCTCTAGGTGACCCTGCGTATGCAGGGGGGTTGGACTAGATGATCTCTAGAGGTCCCTTCCAACCCTAAGCATTCCATGATTCTATTCTATGATTCTATGAATTCTTGGTCGGGGCAAGAAGCGAGTGCCTGTTTCAAGTAATCCTGTACAGTACGTGTCCTTTCCTGACTTACCCCTCCTGGGATTTGCACATGACTGGTGTTGCAGTGATGACAGACCTTCAAAAAATCTTTGAGGCTTGTGAACTTTATTCTCTTTCACCTCAGAAACTGAAGTGAATATCAAACTTGCTGACTTGGCTCATTACAGAGAAATATGAAGAAAAACTGCCAATGCAATCTGCAGGGGGTGAGGAGCAGAAATTAGGAAAAGGAAGCCACTGACTGCATAAACTCACTTCTGACTTTATGAATTGATCTAAATAAGGCAGTAATGAGCACAGTGATGAAATACCCTCTACCAAAAACTTCAGTAAACGTAAGGGGAATGATTCACAGACAAATTTAAGTGCTTTTAAACTTCATCCTCACAGAAACTTTTCATGTTTGAAAAATATCCTTGGGAAAGGACTTAAAGGAAAACTGCATTGGTTCAGTTTTTAGAAATGGATTTGTGTGACTGTTTAGTTACTAAGTCAACAACTTCAAGAGCAGTCATCTCGGCATGCATTCTTCAAGGATGTATCACATTTTGTTACTACAAAACTAGTCCGTTAGCAGTGAATTGTAGCAAGCCTACTATGCTGGGCAAATAGGTCTGGTATTCTGAAGTCTTGTGTTGTCATTGAGCAGGATCCTATCTTCTCAATACAACATAGTCATTTTACTTTGCTTTAGGCATTGAGTAAATGGGTAAATAAATGCTCCTACCTCTTCACAGTATCCTTTTAGGAGTAGCCATGGGTGCCCAGTAATTAACAGGATGAGAAGTGAAAGTTAATGAGCTGGCAGTAATAAAACAGCAATAAAATAATTCTTGGTAATAACTCTATTTGCATTCCTGTTCATTGAAGTTAAGATGGGTGTTGACACCTAGCCTGCACTGAGCCCTCATTTGTCATTGTAAGCTTCCTTTAAGGGAAGGTGAAATGTCTCCACAAGACTCATGGGCATGTTTGCTGTTACTCTGAAGCACTTGTATCACCTAGCTGTAGAGTGTGTGTGTGTGTGTACATATACACAGGTTTTAGTGTATTTATGTATTTATATGCATATTGCAGCTTGTAGTTAGTTTATGTGCTGTCCATTTTTCAACATGACCATTTTTCAACATCTAGTTGTTCTTGTAGGTTCTCATAATATTTTACCCCCTTTTCTCAGCACTTGTACTTTAATCCTTTGTCTTGATAATCCATCTGGAACATGTGACTGACATCAGTTTGGAAGGCATTTGGATTCAATTTGTAGATGCAAGAAGTTTGTGAATTGAAAAGTGGTTAGGCATGTTCATGGAAGGAAATTCATTTGAAAATAAAAGACACTGAATGCAAAACTGCATCTTAACGATGTTGCAGAAAAGTAAGGTTTTGGAGGCTGGAGGAGTTTTCTGGGGAGCTACTACTACATATTTGTTCTTTCCATACATTTTTTTATGTAGGCTTTCACCACTGGACTAGGTATCCTTTTGGTCTGCCCTGATGCAGCTGTTCTTAGGACTTTAGATTTCATTGCTAAAATGTATATTGTTTATTGTCATTATTATTTTTGCTGGCTCTTGTGTTGCTGTCTTTTCCTGACTTGGAATATTGATAGGCAGAAGTTAAGTTTTGAGCCTAAATGAGCATGCTGGCAAAGCTACTTAAAGCAAAGTTACTGCTCTTGGAAATCTGATCTTCTTTGTTAGGAGTCTGTTCAGTGCATTTGAAAACTCCAGTTGCTGTTCCACTTTCTTTTTCTCCACAGATAACAAGCTGCAACATTTTACTTTACAAACAGTAGCTTTGTTGCCCAGAAACCCCATTAAGCTGCCGAACAGATCTAAGAAACTGCATACTAGAAGGGGAGGTTAAATAGTTATACCCAGTAGCAATTAATCTCTGTTTTTTTTTTTTTTGTGTGTGTGTGTGGTTTTTTTGTTGTTGTTGTTGTTGTTGCTGTTGTTGTTGTTGAAAGAGCATTGTGGCACTGCAGGCAAAACAAAGCTGTTCTTCTAGTAAGAAGACATCTTTCAGGCAAATAATGAGGGTGTTGATAGGCACTGTCTGAAAAGAATTGCCAAAGGGAATGTCACAGAAGTACGGAAAAGTGAGTTCTGTTGATTCTCTTTGAGGTCAATTCTTTAATTTTAGGTTTCCTGTGCCACAAACATTCAGAGATTACTCCAAGTAGTTGATGCAAACAATCCAATAATATTTTTCCCATAGACAATAAACTATTGTATTCTTTTTTCTTAAAAAAAAAAGTTATTTCAAAACACTAAGAATAATGTAGAGCTTTGTACTATAACTTTAATATGCCAGTGCTACAGTATAAAAAAAATCTTTATTATGTGCTGCTGCATTGTGTCATGCAGAAATGCATAAAATATCTGAACATGTTATCTTAGTTCCTACATACAAGTGGATCCAAATATTAAAACCAAAATATGGTAGAATTTCTAACTTTCATTAGCAGCTGTCCATGTAAATAGGTCTAAGGCAACTAGTTGGATACCCAGCGGATCAGCAGAGCCAGCAGGTTTCAGAGGTGGGTGCGGACTGAGTGCTTCTCAGCTGCACATGCATCAAGTGATACAAGTAAAACAGACTATAACGAGCCAGGAAACATCTAGTCTTGCAGATGAAGGTTTTTCTATTAAGTGGAGCAGACTCAGAAGAGAACTGTGATTTAATAAAATAATGGATTTTTTTGTGTGTGTCCCTTGTATTCACTTAATAAATATGTAGTACTGTTCTGGGCATTTTCAGTGTAGTGACATTATTTTAGGAAAAGGAGTGGATGGGGGAAGAACATTATGTCTCAGGAAAGCAAAAAACCTCTGAGTATTGCCCCCCTAGGAAAGGGGAGAGTAATTTTATGCAAGAAGGATGCCTGTGCTTGCAGGCTCAAGTAGGCAACAATCTTTGAGGAATACGGAGTATGAATAGTAGTCCCATGAAAGCAGGGAGTATCACTTGCTATGTGCATGTTGATTTCATTAATATTATGGGGTTGAAAGAGAAATATAGTTATGCATCCAGAATTAGGAAGAAATAGTAAGATGCTCGTGTGAGTTTCTCCAACTGCTTTTATATAAGGAAATAATCACAACACTGCTGTAAGAGAATTATATTAATTACATATTATTGAGATATCCAGGGCTCATTCATAAAAATATGAAATTATAGAATTATATGCTTATCTGTTTTGCTTTTTATGTGATCTTCCATGTCTCCTTTCTGTGTTTTACCTCAGTTGTAAGAGGCAGGAGTGATTTGCCAGAGCCAGCAGTGGATTAGTGAAATTAAGATTAGAGATTGAGATCCAAAACTGTGCACAGGCAA